CGAAAGGACGGGTGGGGGAGATGGCGAGAAACGCGGCCCGAGACGGGACAGATAAAGCAGAGACTGCAACACCAGGCTCAGGCACAACCAGAGAGAAGCGAGAGAAAGCATAAAAAGAGGTCCCCAGGGAGGGGACCTGTGGGGACAGGGTGGCAGGGATGCTGGACAAAGGAGCAGGTGAGGCCTGAGGGCTGGGGAACAGCCTCAGGTGGGGGTTCTGGGCTGCGAGCCTGGCCTGCATCTCCCAGGGTCAGGCCTGGCCCTGATTGTGTGTTTGGTGCCTGTTCTGAGGCACCTCCAGGATGTGGCCCAGGCGGTGCAGGCCCACCTAATGGGACCCTGGGAATCTGCTCCTTTGCAGGCCCCTGACCCACTGCTTGCCACACAGCTTACCCCAGCAGGCCCCCAAAGCCAGGCTTCTCCCCACCTGGTGCCACAGCGTGGCCCCAGGAACACTGGCCTCCAGGGTTTCCTCAGCTTGGCCAAGAGGCCTAAGGTTCCATCAGCAGATACACTGAGGTCATCATCCCCCTAGACCCCTAGAGAGGACCATTTTCCACCCTGGGCCCCTCTCAATGCAGGGACACTCGAAGTCTGTCCCCAGAGCACTGCCCCCCCAATATCTCAAAGGGCTGCTCTGGTGTTTACGTGTTGACAGGGCTCCCCAGGGACAAAGGGTTTGCCAACACAGTAATCAGCTCCAGGAGTCCCAGGCTGTGGCCCCTCAGCCTCCCTCATTCTGGGTCCTGGTGGGGTCAGGGTGCTAAGCCACAGATGGTCCCATTCTGTAGGAAGTGGGAGTCCCAGAGGGTCCTTGGCAGACCAGGGAAAGCCAGTAGGTTTCAAGGAGAGGAATGGGGTAACCCTGTGTTGTGTGGGCCTCCTGGGGCCTGCATCCTGTCAGGTCAAGTTCACCATCATTGCTTGTCCCTGTGGCCAGCTCCCATCTACCTGGATCCAGAGGACACCCACATCGTTCTCATTTTTGTAACTCAGGGTCTGGGAGAAGGTGGGGCAGGGTCTCAAGAAATGTGTGTTGAGTGGGTGAGAGCAAAAGCCCAGTGCCCAGCACCTTGCACTGGGGGGTGCCTTGGGGAGGCCCCAGTGGATCAGGAAGTAAAGGGGGGTCAGGGCAGTGGTTGGGGCCAAGCAGGTCTCTCAGGCCTGTGGGAGGGTCTCTCAGGGAAGGTGAGGCCCACCCTTGGGCTGTCCCAGGGGTCTGCCCCACCCTCAGACCCACAGACCGGGCAGATGACCCGGCACTTTCCAGTGCTGCTGATACCGCCAAAGAGGAGCCAAGAATTAAAAATAAACGCCTGGCAAGAAAGCGAGACCTACCTCTCCCCTCCCCTCCCAGCTGGTCTCTATATTTAATGCGTCCCCTCCTGCCTGAAGGTTACTTGGGATTTGGGAGATGCTGGGATTGGCCCAGGTTGGGATGGGCCAGAAATGGGGCAGGAGGCCAAGGTTCCTGGGACACCCAACCCAACTTCCCCTGAGAGTCCCCCCAGAACCCAGGACCCTAGGCTGCCTGCAGCCTCGGAGGGTATTTATCAGACACCCTCACACAAAGGGCTGAGCCCCAACCCTCCAATCCGGGCTCACCCGCAGCTGTCAGCTGGCAGGAACCAAAGTGCCCTGTGGCACCCGTGCTAGGGCTGGCCTGGGCTAGAGGCCATGCTGGCTAGACCAGTGGTCACCGCTGGTGTAGTGCAGCATCCTCTTGAAGGGCCTGCACACTGCCCCAGGCAGGGGTGTCAGGTGGTTTCTTCAAAGGGCCTCCGACTCACACCGGTCCACCTGCAGCTGTTCTGCCCTGCAGGGCCGGGGAACCAGGCAACTCAGCCATCTGGAGATGCTCAGGCCACACAGATTGTGAGACTAAGTGAGCTAGATACTAAATAATAACACACCAACAGTGCAAAACAGCTCCTTCCAGTGCCAGCACCAAGACCCACTGAACAGCTGCTAGCCATCGAGTGGAACTTAGTGACTGTAACTACTGGTCGGTACTGAATAACTACTAAATACCTCATGACCTGCTAAACAGCCAGTCACAAGCCTTGCCAGTTCACCAAGTGCCTCTCCAGGCTGGCCGAGGACCCACGGACCAAGAGCCAGCTGGGCATGGAGAGACAAAGCACAGTGCCCAAGGTCACAGAGCCAGGAGGGCAGAGTTTGCAGTCGGCTTGAAAGGCCTGAGCCAGAAGCTCACCCAGGCCACCTGAGTCGCCCTGCTCTCGTACTCCCCTTCTCTGACACCTGAGCCACTGATCACAGGGGCCCCCATAGCAGCAAAGGTCGGGGACTTTGCCAACCAGGCTGGTGCAGCCTCACAGCACACTTCCAAAGAGGCAGGGGAAAGGGGTACAGGCCCCCATA